ACGTTTTGTTTCCTCTGAGTCTCCGGGTCTCTGGTGGCCCCGGCCCCGGCCCCGAATTGTCCAAATGACGTTTAAGGACTGCGGCAAGGAAGCACCTAGAGGAGTGGCAGCGGCAACTATCGAAGAGTCTGTAAGTAGGCAAGGCCATGAGTTTGTGTTTCCAAAAGTAGAAATGGATGTGGCTCGATTTGCACGAGCATCAAACGGCTGAGAGCTTCGATTGTTGATAAATGATTTGCGTGAAGAAAATAATTATTTTCATGCTGAGTGCAGCCTTTTGTGTGGCCCCACATTGGGCGCCAATTTGTTGTGTTCGTACTTCAATGGCTGCTGTCTCTTGGTATTTAGTGAGTTAAAGCTCTAATATATGTGTGTCTGCAGACGTGCAAATAAATATAAGCGTTTCATTTAATTCATTTTAATTAACATTTGCCCTAAATCGAATACTATTACGTCGAACAGATATCAACAATCGAATATTCCTTGGTTGGAATACCTTAAACTGCATACCATCTCCACCCCATCGATGAAAATCAGTGAACGAGGTCAGCTCGAGTCCATTATCGGGCTTAAAGCACCACAGTCGGTGTGGCCATATTGCAATATGTCCTTACAGACCATAAAACTGTGCAAATACAAATATGTGTGTCAACTCCAACTCCCCTCTGCCCACCAAGCGCCCTCTCTACCCAAACACCGCCCCAAACAGGGCGAACAAACAAACAAACAAACACACGACGCAGCAACTGGGGAGGAATTTTCAAATATTGAGCTGGCAAAAGCTCAGCAAAATCTCGAGCATTACATAACTGACTAACTGACTAACCTGCCAGGCAAACACGCACCCGGCCATAAAAAATGATGCCGTACTTACTTACCATGACTTTAATGACTTTGACTGCATCAGGAGCCGCAGCATCGTCTTGCCGCAAAGCCAAACTAATCAGCACGTGTGTGCGTATGCGTGTGGGAATGAAATGGGCGTAGGGTGGGTGTGCATGTGGGCTTTGTTGTTTCTGTTAGTGTTATTTAGCCGAGGACAAACAATGCTTAACCGACTCCCGGTGGGTGGCAGTGGGAGACCAACTGACCGACTGGCAGGCAGTCAGACAGACAGGCAGGCAGACTGGCAGGCTGAGCAGCCAAGGCCTGCGGAGACCTTTCCCTTGGCCATCCTGCTCTTTTTACACACTCGCTTGATAGTTATTCCCGTTACTCGCTGAGTAGAAGGGTATACTAGACTCGTTGGAAAGTATGTAACAGGTAAAAGGAAGCGTGTCCCATCATAAAAAGTGTGTATATTCTTGGTCAGGATGGACAGCGTCTGTCCGTCCGTACGAACGTCGAGATCGCAGGAACTATATAAGCTAGAAAGCTGAGATTAAGCAAGTCTTCCCAGAGGTTCCACTTTTTAATGAGGCTGCAAGCCGTAACCGCTTTAAAGCATCACTGTAAAAAGCAAAAATCTGCTGTGGTCGGACGATCATAAGGATTTATTATTAAAGCCATCATTATTATTAAAGTTTAGGATAGTCCCGAAAAAGTTTGGCCACGCCTGCTCTAACGTCCGAAAGCCGCCCACATTTGTTTTGTTATTTTTTAAAATTTTATTATTTGCCTTTTTGCCATAGAGAATGTGGAACTTTCTCGTTCGCACTCCCACTGGCTGAGTAACGGGTATCTGATAGTCGAGGAACTTTTCTTTTGTTTGTTAACGTGTGCGTGTGTGTGTGCTGGTGTGCTGGTGTGGGTGTGCAGCATCATTACGGCACGGTGCGCTCGGCTTCCTTTTTATTATGTGTGCGTGTGCCCACAGACAGGAGGCACGCTCACACTCATAGCATTAATTTCACGTTGACGATATGGAAACTAGGTTACTTTTTCAACTGCGCCTCAGTGAGCGCCAAAAAGGGAAAGTGCAACAACTACAGCGATGACAACAGCAAAAATAGCAGCAGCAAAAAATAAACTAACAATTGTTTATTATAAGGCAGCGCCAACTGCAATGCTGATGACTTTGCCGGCCCAGTTGGCTCTGTTGGCTCCGCTGGCCTTGCCAAGTCGGGAGTCCCGTGTGACCGCTAAAGTCCCCAAGTTGCCAAGCCCACCAGCAAGTTGCAGCTTACATATGATGAAGCGGCAAATTGACAGTTCGCCCAAGAAAGTTTGGGGTCTAAATAAATGCAATCGGACAGTTCGCTCCTATCGAAAAGTTCAAGAGAAAAGTGTATAAGAAAGCACTTGGTTGAACCGCAGAAGGTTCCAACTTATTTCTGACAGGATTTTTACCACAAATCTCACATATCCATCACTCAGTGTGCAATCAACTTGTGTTCTAAGCCCCAATCGAAAAGTTGAACAGCAAAGTTTAAGGGCAGGTGGCGCCAACTTACTGCTCATGAGCACATGGGAGAACACAAATAGAGGCCCTGCGTTGGGCGCCATTTAGTTTGGGCAGAGCCATTCGTTTATGCAACACTTTACAATGCCATCTCAGCTCGCTTGGTTCTTATTTACACTTGACGTAGCTCCTATTGTCATATTCATAACTAAAAGCAATGCTGGACGAGTTGTTTCAACAAGCTTTCCATTACCACGGCAAATCTGTTGCATGTTGCATCTCCATCATGCTCCAGTTAAGCCACAAAAGAGGGAAAAAAGCTAAAGCCACTGGCACGCCAGACAGCGGAGGCAACAAAAGTGCATCAATAAATTCAATTTGAAGGTACAATAGATGCAAAACAATCCCTGGAGCCAGAGCTGGTTTCATTCCCAGGCTGCTAATTAGGCGTCGGTTGCCATCCGTCAGGCAAGCTGGCGTGACGGCCAGGACCCACAATCTGCGAGGGGGGGAGAGGGTGGGGTCCTTTGCTTTCAACGCCACATTTATAATTAAACAACATGAAAGACAAAGCGCCCGGCAGACAGAGTGGGCAGCTGAATGGAAAGCGTGGGCGGCGGAGCAACAGGAGCGGTAGAAGGGCGGGCATGGGGCTCAAAGTTACTCGGCAGCATTTATGAGCGCCCATAATGGCTGTTAACAATTTAACTTGTTTACCGGTGGGAAAGTTATATGTTAATTGGTCTCGTATAGCCTGGCACACAGAGGCACGCGAGCTGCTCAGCAACTGGGCACGCACATGGCCCAACCACGTCCTTGAGGACAGATGAATGATCAACTAGGCTATGTCCTGTAGCAGCTAACTTGTTTTAAGGTGGTCAAGTTTTTGGAATTCAAATTGACATCATTAACAACAAAATAAATATCCTGCCGAATTTTGCATTAGCTCCCATAATTGCATAAGGAGCGACCAAGAAATAAGTTTACTGCCTCGCATTTGAATTTACCAAAGATCCTAGAACGGGTCTAAGAACTCCTAGGGGTCACATAAGCTGTTCGCAAACGAAGGATGATTAATACATATTACCAGGGAACCAACCAAATCCGCCCTTCAGGCCACTGGCCAACTTCAGAGCCCGAAAGCAGGCCAATTGCAAGAGGCATTGTGCTGAGTAGCTCCTACTTGCCAGCGCAGCAACAAAGCCGGCAGCAGCCAGCACTTGGCCAAGTGAATAATGGCAGGCATCGTCACCTGTTCCGAGCCACATTCCCCGCCACCCGCCTGTCCCACTGTGGCATTAACACGTTGCGATTACGCCTCATAGGCCATGCAAAGGCACGAGGTGGGGACAGGAGACGGAGCTCCAGGATGCCTGGACCGTCCTGGCCGTGCGGCTGGGAACCACGCCGCACTACGTGGCCTGTGGCCTTTGGCCCATATAGGTGTATGCATATGAATTTGAGGACGACGGCTGCAGCAACAGAAGCGGCAGCAACGATGTGTGATGTTGCAACGCTTTGCAACGGTTGCACTTCCACTCGTTAAAGTCGCTGGCTGCGGGTGGAAATGGGATTACTAATTTTTGCAATTAAATAAGAGCGTAAAAAGGGGAAAATTACTTACATTTTTGCACTAGCCCTGCAGCAGAGTGTGTGTTTTTGTGTGCGCTCGCTTTTGGTATGTTTGCTGGCCGTTTGGGGCAGGAATTTTTTAATTAAATTTCAGCAGGGCGCAGAGTGTGTGCAGTGGCAAGTGTATTGGACGCCAGAGGAACTCTGTGAATTAGCAGCTTTTCCGGTAAATCAATCAAATTATACACACAACACGGAATTCCGAGCTTAAACAGACAAAACAAAAAACCGAAACATTTGCTGGTGTGCAACAGTTTCCCCATGGGAATTGACAACCAAACTTGGACTGAACCGACAACTGCGACCTGCCCCAGTGTCCGCGTGTATGTTTGTGATTGATTGGCAAACAAATTTTGACACTTTACACAACACCCACGGGCAGGTACCCAATGTTTGCCCATCCAATCCAGCCCCACCAATCCCACTCCCGCACCCATCGCCAGTTTGTTGAGCGTTAATTAAAACTGCTGTAAAATGCACAAAAGCGTTGAGCAAACGGCAACCGCGTCGACAATCGCAGGGGGTCATGTCAGGGGGTTTTTTCGAAAAAACGAATGTCGTGTGTGGAAGGGGGATTTACACATACATAACATATATACATACACGTATACTGATACTCGTATGTGCACACATATGGGAACGTGATAACCCAAAGCGGAAACGGAAATGCGAGGAGCGGAAGACGAACAATGTTGGACTGTGTTTAAAGTAAATAGTCTGGATTGATGAAAGTTGCATTCGAGAATTCATCAACAGGCATTTACTTCAACTGCAGTTTGAACGAAATGCAACAGGAAAATAACGAGTGCGCAGTGAATTATTCAGATTATCTACACACCATGAGCTTGTTCCATTAGAGTTATGAACTAGTTTAGAGCAGGAACCGGTTTATTTACGAAATATTGTAAAAGCCCTAACTGCTTAAAGCGCTTGGCTACAGGGCACTCTAACTGAATTTCCCCACAAATTATAACCATTTCAACCTGTGCTATCCGAGATCATTTACACCGATTTCTATCGTTGACAGTGCGACAGGAGAACGAGCGCAACTTCCGCGAGAATCTGGAGCGCACCTGGATGATGAAGAACCGCACCGAGCTGAATCTGCAGCGCCAGCAGATGGAGATGCAGCAGCACGCCGTTCCATGAGCGGAAGGAAGGAAGTGACGCCGCTGGAGCAGATGCGACCGGATGAGATGTCAGCACGAGCTGGAAATGTCAGCGGTTGGCAGCAAGGACAACAAGTTTGTGGCAGGAAGCCGGAGGACCCTTCTGCCCCCCACTTCCTGCAGCCCCCAACTCCCTTCCTGCCCCGCCCAATCAAAGTTATGCGCACAAATGCTACAAAGAATAACAGAGAGTACGAGAAATCGAATCAAAAGAAATTGTTAACTAAAATTTAAAGAGGATGGAGCACTCCGAAGTGCTCGGCTAAACCTAAGCCTGATGCTAATTGTAGTTAAGTCTGCCCAGGCGGTAATCACTTGTTTTATATCTAACTGGGAGGTAGACTCCACTTAGAGCAAGCCCACATAATTCAATGGTCGCGAAAATCAAAAGTGATTCAGTTTAGTCAATAGTTAAAGCGTTGTTTATAGAGTAACTTCGATGACATTTTAAATATTAGATCGGGAACGTTCTGGTACTCAATTCAACCTTCTCCGGTCAATTGTAATCAATTGAAAATGCGTAAAACAGTCGTTTTATCCCAAGATCAAAAGTAACTTGTACGGATTTTCACTGCCTGACCTAGGCACATTAGCACTTGGATTTAAATGAAAAAAGCATTGTATTATAATTTATTAGCTACTTTTCAACTGCTCGTAAAATGATTCAGTTTGATTCACTTAATAGATATGAATTCACCATTGAAGTTGCTTCAAACTTGACGGCTTTCCGACGAAGTTGTTTACCAGAACCGACTCGATTGTCCTGTAATTATTACGCCAAGGATATGATCTACTTGGGGCTGCAGGACGACGCCAAGCAGAAGGAGCAATTAAGCGAAAGGTTTCGATTGTTCAGTTGATTAGCCAAATGGTTTCAATTTTTCTTCAGCCGAGCTTTTCCTTGGTTTTCCCACCCGATAAACACCCCCTGAATGGCGTCGACAGGCAGCTGGAAAAAGAGGAGAAAAGTTGGTCAATAGTTACGTCTGAAACTAAGTTGTTAACTGAAAGTACTCCTAAGTAAATGTTAATAGCAATAAACAAGCGAAAGTTTTTGTATCTCTTAGACGTTAAAGATGTTGAAGGGGAGTTGGCAGAAAAGCGCAAGCATAAGTATCAAGTATTCCACGATACATTTTGAGTAAAACTACAATTCATAGGTTAACAATAATTGTAAAGGAGCAAAGAAACATTCAATAGATTTACTTGAACTTGGAAGTCAACTTGTGCCAATCCTAATGAGAACCTGCAATAAATGTGGCGTAGCGTAACTTAATAAACAATTGAATAACAAAAGCGAGGGGAGTTAGATAATTAGCGGATCGATGTGAAACTGTTACTTAAGTGCAAAACGAGCTTGTTGTCGAATTAATTTTTAAACGGATTAAACTAAGTGAATCTAAGCTAAATGTTAAATGTTTTTTTAGGTGTTCAATGTTACAATTATTTGTGGTGGAGCAGCCGAGGAGCCAGAATTGATTGCCCAGCCTTCACGAAATGAATAAGTTTATGAACCTGTGCTAACTCAGTTGCAAGTCTAACGACAAAATTAGCTTGAAGCAAACTTCTATCGGTTTCAGCCAACAGAGCGTTGCAGGCTTGAAAGCGAAGTTGAGAACGAACTTCCCTGACCGCCCATCCATCAGTCCAGTTAACAATTAGCCGGATATGAGCTTATCAGCCCAAATCTTTCCCACTACTTGCCCGATTGCACAAAGGCTATTTAATAATTGTAATAGGTTTTTGGGCTCTGGCGTTAAATAACTGTGAGACACAAAGATTGTTTGTGTCCACAAAACAAATTTACGTGCATCACAATTTAAGCATCACACGAAAACAAAGGGAAAAATAACAAAGTGCTGGAGTCTTGTTTTTGAAACAAACATATTTTTGCTTTCTTTTCAAAGCTCATACATATATGGTTAGCTTTTAGCTCCAAAACTACCAAACTCTTTGCAAATTCTTTGATTAAAAATATATCTGATTTAAAGCCACATGGTAGAGGACAATGAATTAATTTAATACAGTTTCATTTTTCTGTGCAATTAATGATCTCTGCTTACAAATGAATATAATTTTGGGCCATTCGGGGAGCAGGGAAGCAGAAGTTCAACGATGGGCAGGACGAAAACAAATGGAAAGCTTTAAATTAGCTCAATAAATTGTAAACTTAAACATTTAATCTACTTAGAGCGGGTCGTTGTTAAATGCAATGCAAGTACATCTGAGACAAAGAATCACACACCTCATTCAGATTTGTAAGATACGCATTTTGGCCTAGAAAGCCATTCCAATTTGACCACACCACACACAGAGGCTAAAATAATCAAATTTGCGCAAGGCAGCCACAAAGGATATTTAGTGTAAACAATCAAACAACAATGTACTTAGTAATTGCATTTAACACGTGGGGCAGAGCATATCCACTAGGTTTGCAAAATTGATTTAACTGCATGCTTAAACTAACGAAAGTAAACGGGATATTAAGTGAATGAAGGTAGGGGAGACCGAGTTAAAAGAACACAACTAATGTCTATAATTATGGCTAGCTAAGTGTAAAAATGTAAGCTGAATTATTATACAAACAACTACAACCGAAGCAAGTAAATTGATGTAATTGAAATACTCGTAACGTTCTAGGGCGAAATACCAATAAATATTGAATAGCGACACAGGTTAAACACAAACACGCAGCAAGCATAAATTAACGAATAACGAAATTATTTCTCGAGAAAAAATCAAACTTTTTAGCCTTTGAACGAGAGACTTTTGGTGCCCAATCCAGTTTGAGCAATTATTTACAAGAGAAAAAGTAACGAAACACAAAGAGAGAGACACTCACACACACACACACACACACACACACACACCACACAGCAGATGTAATGTAAATAGAGCCACAAACAAACCAAATGAGTAAATACCAAGTAGGTACATTAATAACTAATGAGAGGGCTTATCCGAGTAAATCAACATTAAATAAATTAACAACGGAATTCAAACAAAAGCAGGTAATACTTCAACTTGTGTGCAAGGCATCAACTTTTACTGTTAATTGTTGCTGGCAATGCAAAACGCAGCGCCGACCGAAAAACGAAAACTACAAAAATAAACCATGAAAAAGGAAAACAAATATATTTAAAATACATTTGAACGCCTTCAGCGTTTTATTCATCAAGCAAGAAATGTTGAATCGAAAGAAAAAGTCAAGCAAAGCCATACAAGCGATAAATCAATTTGTGTCACCTGTGTAGTAAGTATATCTCAGTATTTGTAACTGAACATGAAAACCGTTGAGGTGCAGGCATCAACCACAGAAACAACAAACCAAATCAAATGAAAATAAACTGAATTTACAAGTGCTCTCTGACTATTATTTATTTCCCTTCATTTCCCAAATCAGTTGACTTCTGGGGAGCAATATTTCTCTGTATGCTTCACAATAGGTAAGTACTTGTACTTGGACTGGTCGAAATGTAAAATATTCCTTTAACAGAATCCTCTTGGTTGCGCTTAGGTTAGTCTCCTTACAATAGGCACTTCAGTACAGTTGTCTGTTGGTCTTTAAAACAATTTATTCTTTATTTATTTATTCTTTCATTCTTTAAAAAATCAAAATAACTACATTTCGAGAATAAACAATTCGTTGCATAACTGAAAGATGTTATCTTAACAGCACAGCCCTTCAAATAGGCAAATGCCGTTTTAAAGCGGCTCTTTATGGACTTGAAAGCAACTGGCTTCAAAATTAAATAAGTTGCATGCTCTTGCTTTTGGCAAACCCTATAAACCCCTATGAAATATACTATTAAATAGTAGGGAATTTATTTGTACCATCATTATCAAATTAGTTTTTAACAACCGTAAATAGGGCAAACTTCTAGACCGCCATCTGGTGAAAGCTTTGGGAACCGCGTGCCAGAAATACCGCAACCGATAACTGGCCCCGATTAAATACCAAGACACACCGATGACTGGCCACCCGAAAAGCTCTGACTCACCACAATCGATCGTCAGCAGTTTATCGGAATCGCGATCTGATCTGAAATGTGGAAAAGCTGTGCAGATAAATTAATTAGCAATTAGCAAGTGCAAACAGAGTGTTGTCAGCCGACTAGTCGAAGCAGCTGAGCTGATAGTTCCGCCTTTGGCCCCCGCTTTCGCCCGATGCTAAACGGAACCAAAATAAACAAGCGAGTGAAAGGTGGTGGAGAAAGAGCGCGGGAGAGTGAGCGCGAAGTGTTGTCGGAGGGGGAGGCGGCGGAGGAGCTCAGGAGCGGACATCGAGGCAGAAACAAAAGCACAAAACGGCAGACAGAACCAGTCGAAACAAAACAACAAACCGGAGCGGACGCACTCGAAAAAAGCGAAACGAATTTATTTCTGTGCTTAGGGCGACACTGTCTGCGTGCCACTGACTGTGAGTGTGTGTGAGCGCATGAACGCGTGTGTGAGTTGTGTATATTTAAACAATATTCAAAAAATCATACGCCAGACGAATAAAAAACGCGACGAAAACGAAGGCGAAGATCTCCTCTCGCAGCGGAGCAGACACATAAATAACAACAGAATCCGACACAAAAACAACAACGCGACTGTGACGCGGCAAGGTGCTGGAGGTCACTCGGTCCATTTCGCACCGCACTGAAGCACTAAATCAGTATATCACTATAGCAGTCTAGCAGTATAGCAATATAGCACCACCCCCCGACCACCCCCTTCTAACCAGTTTCAGCTCCAACCGCCCGCAAAAAAGAGCACGCGCGATCGGAAAACTCGAAAAAATACAAGCAGCAAAAAGAAACAAAAGCAACTCACGCGCTTCATCGTTTTATTGCTCGCCGCCCTCTCGACTGATAAACGTCAGTTGATAAATATATATATATCGCATCGCATCTACACTAAAGCAAATCCGCCAGCAAACAAACACCAATTATTCCAATAAAGCCAGCGCCAAGTGCGAATGCGCCCTCGATTTGTATGCCATCAACAGCACTCGGTGGCCCATTCCCACTTTGAGCCCCACGTCCAGCCCCACTCCCACTTCCATCACCAGCACCATCACCACCGCCATCCCAATCCGCCCCACCACCATCACATTTACGGCGCCACTGACGTCAGTTATCGGCGTTATCGCACCGCTAGCATGGTGGTGGCCGAGGGAGTTATGGGCTCCGGGTCGGGATCGGGCACGGGCACGGGATCGGGCTTGGGGAACTTCAACGAGACCCCGTTATCCGCACTGGGCATCGAGACCCGCAACCAGCTGTCCCGCATGCTGAACCGCAAGAAGGTGCTGCGTTCCGAGGAGGGCTACCAGCGGGACTGGCGGGGCATCTCGGAGCTGGCCAAGCAGAAGGGATTCGTCGACGAGAACGCCAACAATCCCATGGATCTGGTGCTGATCAGCTGGAGCCAGCGGAGTCCCCAGACCGCCAAGGTGGGCCATCTGGAACACTTCCTCGGCATCATCGATCGGTGGGACGTCTGCGACGATATCCAGGAGAATCTGGGTAGGCATTAACTATTTTTTGCTAATGGTAGTCGCTATCTACAAATATGTCACTTGAGTTTTGAGTATCATTACTTTAAGATTAGCTTTAAATGATGGTCTGACGATTCAAACGTAGATTGCCTAGATGTTCTATACTCGACTGTTCCAGAGTTGCGCATTTAATTATTACAAGATAAAAAAGAATTTCAAATAATAGTTGGATAACAAACAAACGAAGGGAAATAAACAAAAGATATTTCTTAGCACAATGTATATATGTACATATCCAATGATTATATACTCTGCGCTCGTATACATACATATGTTCTTCAATTAGAAGCATTGGAAAATGACCCATTACATTTTTATTAATAACGAGCAACAGCTATCAATTACTTTTGGCTGATCCATTTATGGATTTATGACCGGAAAATCTGTTTCGAGTTTATAAAAATGGACCTGGTAATCATTACAAAATCGAGTATATGCAGCAAGCGTACTTATTTAACCTTACTATCGCACATTTATCTAAATCAAACAAAGCTTATCTTCGGATACATATAACTATTGAGTAATGATGAATAGAATGGCAGAAACAAAAGTCTCCCAATATCCAATGATTAATTTGTGTTTCTTTCTATTTATTTCCAAATTAAATGTTTCGACTTGTAAGAATTTCATTACCACATCCCGAAAAATCGAAAAAAAAAACAATGAATACAATGACTTTTAATAGCCGCAAGCAACAGAACATAGACTATAGAAAACGCCAATAATTTAGATACGAAGTTTTCTTATTTATTTGCACAATGGGGATTCACCCAACAGAAACTGTTGTCATTCATAAAAAGCCTCGAAACCCCCATTTTTGTTTACGAGCAGATGTTGTATAGAAATAATATATGTATTTGTTTTGACCAAAATGGTTCGAATTAATTAACACACTGCGAAGTTAAATTCTCGATATATGAAAAAATAATTAAAAAGCGTAGAATGTATTTTTTACAGAATTATTTTGGACTCGACCGAAATTCTTCCTAATGACCTTTAATTGGTTTTTTAGTATACGTGATAACTACTAGAATCTAGAATACGCTACCCAATGCTAGAATGTTCTGCTCTGCTGACAACATAATTTTTAATAAAAAGATGTGTTAGACATTGGTTAGTGCTAGATATTTAATAAGATATTTGAATGGATATTAAATAATGCATTGATCTTAATTTGAATCAAGAGAAAACGCTATATTCGAGTTCATCGACTATCAGATATATCTGATATACCTGATACTGAGCTATATATCGATAGAAATTGACAACTAAAATTTTAAAAAATTCAACAGAGTGGTCGTCGGAGGTTTTGGGCGGTTTGTGGGCGCTAGAGTAGGCATGGCCAAAATGTGTTTGACTATCCATAGAAATAGGAAAAGCAAATAATAAAATTAGAACACATTTTTCAAGAATGTGGGCGTGATAGTTTTCAGCTCTAGCTCTGGAATCTCTAATCTCAAATTTGTAGCTTCCATAGTTTCCTAGATCACGACGTACATACGGACGGACAGACGGACATGGCCAGATCGACTCGGCTATTCAGGATCAATATACATATGTACTTTTTACCTGTTACATACTTTCAACGAATCTAGTATACCCTTTCACTCTACCAGTAACGGGTATACCAAACTCCATTTATAATATTAAGTTGTACATACATATATAAATAATACCAATGTATTATGGAAGCTTAAGTGACTAATTGTCTGCAGAAACTAAGATAAACTTTACTATGACATTCCTTTTTCCTCTTATCATATCAACAAAGAGTTATATGCATTATTTAATAAACATAATTTGTTTTTCTAAATAATATTTATGACTTGTATTATTTTAAGAATTATGTTTAAAAAAAGACTTTTATCTAGTTTTTTATGATCATAATTCCTTTAGTTAACGTTACTGTTCATTTTACTGTCCCCAAAAGCCAAGGACACCCAACGCTTCATCATAAAACAGGAGCAGCGACAGACCGCTCTAGTGGAGGCGTGTCCGCCGCCCCCCAGCGACTGCCTCGAGACCAACAACAACTACAGCAGCAGCAGCAAAAACATCACGGTGGGCCAAAGTGTGCAGATCCTCAGCGACGAGGACCAGAGATGTGTGCAGATGGGCCAACCGCTGCCCAGATACAACGCCTGTGTTCTGTACGCGGAGGCAGACATCGATCATGCCACCGAGATCATGAATAATCTAGAGTCTGAGCGATACAATCTCAGGGTGAGTGGGATGCTCGGGTGCTGGGTGTTCTATTGAATAACCATGGAACGTTCTATTGCAGCTTTTCCTGCGCCACCGCGACATGCTAATGGGCGTTCCGTTCGAGCATGTCCAACTGTCCCACTTCATGGCTACCCGCTGCAATCACCTGATCGTCGTGCTCACAGAGGAGTTTCTTCGGAGTCCGGAGAACACGTACCTCGTGAACTTCACCCAGAAGATACAAATCGGTGAGTAGCTGCTACGCAGTTGTATCTCAGAGTCAGAGTCACATAACAAGTTCAACGATTTGCTTTTTCGCAGAGAATCACACTCGCAAGATCATACCGATTCTGTACAAGACGGACATGCACATACCCCAGACCCTGGGCATTTACACGCACATCAAGTACGCCGGGGACTCCAAGTTGTTTAACTTCTGGGACAAGTTGGCGCGTTCGCTACACGATCTGGATGCCTATTCGATCTACTCCACGCGCCAGGTGCAAACGTAAGTGTTTCTACTTTCTGCGATATGTGTATGTATCTGTTTCAAAAATACTTGATACATTTTAGGGGTAGAAAATCTAAAGATACTTTAGATTGCTAGGCAAAAGATAAATAGGATTTGCAAACTGAATAGGAATACATGGAAGTGATCTTCCAAATGTTAAAAGCTGCTTTAAGTTTATACATTTTGTTAGCTTAATGTTTTGCCTTTGGTGTGCAATTATATATTTTTCTACCGCGGGCTGTAGGGACTGCGAAAACGTTTCACAACATACGCAGAAAATGTGCAAAATGTATACCAACTGCTTGTAAACAAATTATATAAGCAAATATCGCAAAGTTTATTAGCGATCAACTTTAGAATAGCCAGCAGGTATTTTTATTTAATTTTCCTAAATACAAATGAGATACGTTTGTTTCAGAAAGATGAACTCAGGCGATTTTAAAATAAGTGCTCAGGAAGTAATGCACTGCATATGAGTAATCAATTTTGAATCAAATTTATAAACGGGAAATAAAAGTATTATATATAAGGGGGAAGATTACATTAAAATTAAATAAGTTTTGCGGTTAATCGTAAAATATGGAGGAATTTAATCACTTAGATAAACACATTTAGTAAATTTGGCATACTCTAAATTTCCCTTATGCAGACCATCGCCGGAGGAAACGTCTCCACGAGTGACCACTCCCAGCATTCGCATACAGATCAACGACAAGGATGTCACTGATATGCCAAACTACAACAGCTGCAAAGTGCCGGAGGCGGAGACCACGATTGTTTCGGTTTCCGGTGATACTGGGTCCCCCCTGCCGGAGCACAAACCGAAGAAAAAGGATCGATTCCTGCGCAAAATCACACACAGCTTCGGAAAGACGGCGCGGAGCGATGGGGCCAGCGCCAAGACCCTGCGCCATGCGCACTCCGTCAGCACCATAAACGTCACGGAACGCGAGAGGACCCTCAGTGCCAGCAGCTCCAATATCTCCACCACGTCGGAGAGCAAGAAGAGTTTCATCAAGTGGCAGCCGAACATTCTCAAGAAGGCCCTCTTCTCACGCTCCAGCAACAAGCTGCAGACGCCGGGTTGATATCATAGTGTTAGGATAGCCATTCATTCGATTCCTCGATTCCTTGATTCCTTATCGTGTGCCCAGTCTAGTTATGGCCGCCGAGTCGCCAATGTCGTCACCCTCCATGCCTAGTGATAATCTTTAGCCTAATCCTTATCAAAGTCAACTAACTTAATATACTTAGACGCACCCGTTAACTTATATAAGACAACAACGAATAAAGACAATACCACATATCCGCACAAATGTATCACTAAAGCACACAGACTACCAAGTACGACACTATATGCTCTATGTATACGACTCTAGACTTGATAAACAGACAAATTGGCAATTGCGTTAAGTGAGGTTAAATACGCGACACTGTTAATCGAAGCGCTCAATTAAATGTTAGTCACGCGTTCGATAGTGACTTACTTAATTTAATTATCTCGCTTGCCGTTCTCGCAACTCAGACCCCATCTCGAATGAGTAATGAGCACATATTACGAATACGTATGGGGCTGCATTGTGTGAGTAGTTCTTTATCATTTTGTAAACTGCTCAAGCCGTTTAGACGATTGCTAGCAATAAGTAAACTGTTTGTTTTCGGTACCGCCATCGGCTGGTTCGCCCATGTGATTAGCTTTAGCTGTTAGCGATTGTTACTGATTGCTGTGAATGCGTGCCTAAACACACTCACTTATTATAAAGCAGAGACCACATCAATACCTAAGATACGTCATCCATCAAATCGTACTTTTCAATGTATCTAAACGCTTTATATATAGTATTATAACTCGGAACAGTGCGTTTCAAAATCATAAAGGGTCGACAACCGTATTGCAAATGTCTAACTTATGTCAAGCGAGATTAATGTGGACAAAACGCACTATATGTACATAAGTCGCTCAATGTCGGGCATCGAACGCAGGAACCTCGACCCTCGCGCCACCTGTCACTTATGGTTATGAAACGCACGGTATCCATATCGGAAATAAGCAAGCTCCAGTTGAGCGGCAATAAACTGTTCAATGTTTGGCTCAATAATTTATTGTTGAATGTAGACAACCTTTAGTTCGTTCATGTTTAATAAACATTGCAGTTGATGTGTAAATCCCCGTATATTTACATACAGTTGTTTGCGTACATATTGAGTGGAAATGTTTATCGACCAGTTCCGGTTAATCTACAAGACAGTTCGAATCGGTTTAAATTTTTTGTATTTTTTTTTGTTTTATTTATTTTCGGTTTTTATTGTTTAAATCGTTTAATGTTTTAATAATAGCTCCTCGCTCACATTCCTCATTCTTCGCAACCTGCGTTAATTTCGCTCTCTGTGTGTTACAATTTACACTGTGAACAAATATGTTTTTTAGCCTTACTGCTCCTCGCGACTTGAGCTTGTTCTTTAAACTTTGTTCTTTGTTTTGTTTTGTTTCGTTTCGTTTCGTTACTTTTAATTGAATTTATGTTTTTGGGTTTTCTTTGGTTGCTTCTCTTCTCAATGTGTGTTTTTATGTGAGTGTGTGTATTTATAAATCGATTTATATATGTTATTAATTTTATCTGTCGTTTGTTATTCGCTTAGCTTTGTTTTCCTTCGTTAGAGTTATTTTAATGATTTCATTATCGTTTAACAAAATTAATAAAAACAGTTTGTAATTTGTTTGCTCTTTGTTGTATGTATATGTTAATTGATCAATTTATCGTAATTCGCATATTAAAACAATGTAACGCATGATGTTGCATCTTCTGCCTCGACTCGCGCTCTATGAGTATTATTTGCAAATTGTTTCGTAGCTTAATTAATGCCTTCTGGGGATGTCTTACATTCGTGTTGACTTGTTATTCATCTTATAAATCTAACTGATTGCATTTACACAGAGTGTGTGACGACGAGTCTGAGTGGAGGGGCAGGGCAGGAAGGGCAGAAAAGGGCAGGGCGGGTCAGGATGTGACACTGAGTGTGGAACTGGAATCTGGTGACTGTAGTGTTCCCGGACTGAACTGGCGCCTCGGGATGGAACAGAACCTAACTAACTCAACCGCAACCAAGGTTCGTGTAAGTGTATGTTTGTTCGTTTAAAGCGTTATCCTCTATAGTTAAGTGTTAACAATGATTATGATTATGGAAGTCAGCTGAAGAAGTCTGTATCGGTTTGGAAGTTGAGTTACCATCGTTTTGTGAGTTCCCGCCTTATAAATATGTTATGCATAGGTATTTCCGTTCTACCTTCCTCAACCTCTATAACTCGACTCCCCTCCCTCTTACTCCGTCCTTTAATCATACATACATACACATGGAGATATATTCATCGGCGAGTTTTGGGTCGCTTGTCGTTCTCGACTTACTAATAAATTAAAACAACGCTAATGAATTTCTTTTTCGCCTCGCTAATTGTGAGTTCTCGTTTAACGTTCTTCTTTATCGCTTGCTTCTCTCTCCTCTAGCTTTTCGTTTATTATCGTTATCAATCAATTATCAATTTCAATTTTCATTTATACATACTAGTTTTTCATTAAATTTTTCCGCTTCAATGCTTTAGTTTTGTGCCTTGGACAAATGTCTGTTAAAAGTCGCTTTCTTTTTCCGCTTCTCGATTCCGTATTACATTTAAGTTAGTTTTGGTTAGATGGGAGTACAGTGTTGGCTGATCTCAGCATTGTCTAAGGATCTGATTGCGCAGCGGAAGTTACTAAATCAAATGCACACAGATCTAATCCAGGGGACAGTGACTAGCAACGTAGACCAGCTACGTTTGCAATGGAATACATGTGAGGAAAGTAAAAACAAGTCTATATAACATTAACAAAACAAGTCGAATTAAGGTTTTACGATACTTCACAAATGTTCCTGGGTAAACAACTATAAAGTGTAAAACTAGAAGCATAATATAATTAAACAATTCACAGAATTTTTAGGTAAACTTGCAGTTCACTACGTGAGAAACCACATTCTTCCAATTATTAAAACAAATTCTTTCTTTCGATAGATATATAGTATGTGGCAAACTTTCTATGTCCTTGCCAAGAATCCTCCAACCCAGTGCTCTCTCAATTTATCCCGATTGCTTGATACCCGTATGGAACAGTCAAAGTTCCGGAAGTCGAAAGCCTAACCCCAATCCCAACGAATGTGGATGCAGGTGCGAATGCTAATGGCGATGTTGGCAGTGTTTTCGCTTTTACGCATTGTTCAATTACGATTTCGTTTGCGATCGTGTGATATCTTCTGATAGATACTCCCAATGGATCTACGGCTGATTCTGGAGGCCACGCGAGGGGGGCGGTCTATATCTACTACACATATTTTAGTCTGTCGTCAGGCATTTGGCGAGCATCGAGCATCGAGCGTCTTGCTTATTGTTTCTATTCTGTGTTTAAATTTAACATTGTGCGCGATTTGTTGAACGTTTGACAACACTACAAATAACGGCAGTTTTACATGCTGATGCGGATGATTTCCGGAATTTCTTTTGGGGCAGAAATGCAACAAGATCAACAAATAATAGGCCTCTTGCTGAAGAGTAACGCTGTCCAGGAACTATACAAATGCGGGGTGGGGGTCAAAGCAAATGAAAATGAGGAACTCACTACATAGGAAACGAGAGACCGACCGAGCTTCAGTTACCCCGTCATCATCGTTTTTCTGGCAACAACATTTTATAGTCTCTGTTATCTATATCTCTTTCACAACTTATAGTCTTTGGGGTTAGATTAGATTTCCTGACTCGAGTGGCAGTCTGTGTGTGGGGCTATCCAACTAAATAAGGCTATTTTGGCACACAATCACAACGGAACACGGAACATCTATTGTACAACAACGATAACAACACAAGGATGGCTGGTACTGGGGCTAGCAACTGATCTGTGGACTGAATTTTGGGGACTTGAAATCGAATCTTACGAATTTTGAATTCGTTAGCTGGCTGCAGACGGTGCAGTGACATTCTATGTGGCAAGCACGCCGCCTGAACGTCTCCAACTAGCCATGCTCCTGCTCCTTATTGTAACGTCGGTCCCCGTCTATGAGAATTCTGGCTAAATGCTACAAAAACGGCTTTTAAGTGGTTCGCGCTTGTTGCTGTTGTTGTGGGCGTGGGTGTGTGTGTTTCTGGGTGTGTGGCGGCTGCATTGCTTTCGCCTTTTTATAATTCACGTTTACGCTTACTTCACTATTGTACAATGTGCGACTTGCATTATTATATTCTCGTAATTATTTTATATAAGTATATATGTATATATGTATGCATGTTGGAGTGTGTGTGTGTGTGTGTGAGTGTTCTTGTGTCGAGCTGCTGGGCTACTCCTATTTTTGTTTTTTCCATTTTTTCGTTTTGGTTTCTGTAAAATGCGCTAGTTTATTGATACCTGCTGTGGCGCCCAACGTGGCACAGTCGTGAACCTGTGGGTTTGCCCGTCTGCCCGTCATTGGCACTCTAAATTCTGTCCTCCTCATCCTCTTCCTCCTCCTCCTCGACCTCCTCGCCGTTCTCCTCTAGCTCCTCCTTGTACCCAGGATGCTCAGAGATGGCATAGTAATTGCCATTGTAAATGACGCCCAGTTCGCGCAGCGCATCGCCGCGTATTGTCGCCTTTATCGTCCAGTTGTAGCAGTCGTCCGACTCGGACTCGCGATCCAATCGCTCCACGTCAAGGATCTTGGAATTGAGGCGTTCCAGTATGATGCCGATGTCTTTGATGCTAAGGTGACGCTTCTGGTCCACCGACAACTGGTCGATCAGCAGCAGAAACTTCTCCGTCGTCGTCTTATCGTCCTCCATCACCGTGTTCTCCGTTTCGCTCTCGGAGCTATCCCGCTCGGGGGCGATGTCCAGGAATCGCACATGGCCCTTGGCGCCTGACGAGCGGCGTTGCATGCTGCCGCTTCCGCCGCCACCGCTGCCGCCCAGCATAGGATCCATAACCGATGGTGCCGACTGCGGCTGGGGACTGCTGCTTCCGTCCTGGATGGGCGACGTAGCCACGCTCTTGTGCACAGCAATCTTGCGCCCCTCCTCGTGCAGCGCACAGCAGTGGAAGTCGCACTCGGTGGTGCTGGGACTGCCCGCCCTGCTGGGCGTGTGGGCGTGGTGGGCGCATTCCGGCGTATGCACGTGGACCGCTCCCACGCCCACACCCACGGTGCTGTCGAAGGAGCTACCCTGCTTGGAGAGTCGCCTGCTGCCGCCGGGTATCACAACTCCTGGCGGCAGAACAACGCCACCGGGATGGTATATGCTCGCCGGTCCGTCGTCGCTGATCACCGTTATTTGAGGGCTGGCATAGCGTGGCTGGGAGGACTGCGACGACACTGACTTGTTGTCCAGCGAGCTCTGAGCGGAGAGGCCCTTCTTTGAGGGCGAGTACTTGTCGGACGACAGCAGCCCATTGCTGCTGCCCAAGCCGGAGCACATGCTCCCCCCTCCGCCACCGCCTCCTCCGCCGCCGCTTCCTCCACCCTGCCGCTGATCCCAGTGCAGAACGACCGTGACACGCCCTTTGTTATCCATGATCTTCCACGACGGTGTCTCATCGTGCAACTCCAGCGCATGAATCGTCTCACAGACGATTTTCGGTATAGCTGATATGGCTGAAAAAGAAATGATAGAATAAGATCTGTACGGCTAGGATATCCCAACTAAGGTTGAGCACGAAAAGATGAGAAGGTCAACTAATATCTCAATACGATACGGACACGAATGAACTTAAGAATCGGCCGACGTGTTTTTGAATGTCTAATGGCTGTCATTTAAATCTCGATGTAGCATTTTCCTTTTGTTTAACTTTTACATGTTACGCTTTTGTTTACAATTAAATGTTAGCAGTGGAAAGCTTAATAGCTTTCCCACAGGGATGATCGCTTTAAAAACATACTGAAATTTATTGCATTTAGAATCGTATATGTATGTCTCAAAACGGAAGTTTTATTTTAAATTGTTTAAATGGCCGTTCTTTAGAAATTGAATAAGCTCAAAAAACTATTTAAAGACTTTAAATTCATTCGCAAACAATTGGCCTTGAAATCAATACAAACAAGCTCCATTGGTGTGATCCAAGGTGTGCTAAGTGCTAAGGTAAATGCTTGCTCAATGAATTGGTTATTTAATTTAAATGAAATGGAAAGAGTCGTATACTCAGGCCTCTGATTAAATATCAAAATATACTTTTTACAATTATTCAGCTATCTCTTTTAAGTGGGAGGCTCATGAGTTACGCAGTAATAACAAATATTGAATCTATCTTGTATCTAAACAGATAGGTCTAAATCTAAATATAACTGCAAGTTCCTGGCTCGCTGACAGACATTTCCCTGGCCCAGTACTGATCCCGAAATGCAGACCAACTCATTAGACCCACCAGCCTTTATGACATCGACGCCAGTGGGATACCAGCGCTCGCCCTGTCTTAACAGCAGCAGCACCGTATTGTTGGCCAGGGTGCGAAAGTATTCGCCGTCCTCGATTTGGGTTCCATCACACTCCAGAACAACGCGCACCGGTTCTGAAGCAGGAACCCCCAGCTTATCCTTGCCGCGGACCAAGAGCTCCTCGAAGGTCCCAACTACGACGCCCTTGCGCACATTCCGCCAGCTGTCCCAGATTTTCAGTGGTCTCTTGCCGCGAGACTCCTGCGAAGAGAAATTCGGATTAGTTGGGTTTTACGAATTACAATTCCAACTGCTGGCGAAGGGAAAGTGAAAGCTGAGATGTGGGAGGCGTAAGGTGGTATGGGGGTGGGGTGATGCGGGATGTGGGATGCAGGGTGCAGGGTGCAGGGTGCAGGGTGCAGGATGGGCGTGACACCTGTGAAACGCTGCGCACGAAAAACGGACAAGTGGGTGTGGCAGCAGGCCCGGGCTGTGTCATAATTTCCTCAGCCCGCTAATTGGGCTTCTCTGGCTTGGCCAAAAAGGGCTCAAGTGTCAAGGCCACAACGGCTGAAGCTCATATTAGTTGTGGAATTTTTATAGATTATAGGTTTAAACAAATCTACTCCCCTCATTCGGAATAAAATAAAGCTAAGTACTAGTCTTAAAAAAGGAAGCATATATATGTAAAGAGGGCCAAAGAAAATTGAAAACGAATCCTTTTGGCTAACAGCGCACACAGCTGTTGGCTAACAGTTGCAGGCAACAACAACGGCCACCCGAGCAGGACGAAAGCTGCAATGTTTAATGTATTGCAAGGACATGAGTGTGGCGCTCCAGTGACCCAGTAACGAGTGCAGCACACGAGCCATATACAAATATCTCTCTTCGGCCAAGCAAGCCCCCAATCCCCCGATTCCCGATTCCCCAGTTCCCCGCCCGTTCACCCAAAATAAAATGTTTGAAAAATTACAAAAAATTCATGTTGACATTTTGCTTATTCCTCCGCACCAAAAACAAGCAGAAACTTTTCATAAAAATATTTCATTTCCCTCGCCCTGCCCAGTGTTTTGGGTGCTCCCTCCTCTGCTCTCCCCGCCCATCCTCTTCCCCTTCCAAACCATCGCACCGATTTTCCTCTTGGGATAGGTCAGTTGCTGCGGCCCAGCACCATATGGCACCGAGGGAGTCCAGCGGGTCGGGGATTTGCTGGCTATTATAAATTATGAAACTGACCATATTATAAACAGCAAGCATTGCCAATTCTAAGGCTCGATAAATAATATTAATGCCCTAAAAGAAGTGTCGAAACCTGGTTGATTCTCCTAGCACTTTAAAGTTTTGTCGCTCACCAGTAACTTTAAAAACGATGGAAAAATAAGATTACCTAATGAACATGTACATATAGCAAAGGTTGAAGGTGATAATTTATCTTTCCTAAGATTAAAAGTATTTTCATACTTTATAAATACAATATGAATTAAATACAATGAATTTACAAAATTTTAAAAAATAACGGCAGCCTATAGAAGTTCTCGATTAGTATTGCTCTATAAGGTTTATACGAGCATATTAGCCAGTGTGAAAAGCGTTTACGCAGGTACTCAGAATTGGCAGTACATTTTGCTGTTGAGCCTCAACTGGAAACCTAACTGGATAGTGGACGGATTAGGTTTTTTTGATTTAGAAATGAAGGACACTTGCATCCGATGAAAGGTAAACACGAAATACGTATGCCCCGCAAGGGAAACATTACCATTGCGGACAGTCCGCCGTTTGTGGCCGACGAGGGTCCCGTTGTGATGGCCCCACCACCCACTCCGGCCCCACCCGCCGCCGCGGCAGAGGCAGCTACGCCCTGCGTGGCCTGGGCCGCCGCCGCAGCTGCGGCTGCCACTTGTCTGATGCTCAGACAGTTGCAGAGCGGCTTCGTCACGCCCAGCGTGCACAGGGCGTTGGACCACATGGTGGTGCTGGTGGTGCTGTTGGTGGTGCTGCTGCTGCCAGCCACTTTTAGGCCGAGTCTCTGCGCTGGTGGCTTGCAATGGTTGGCCTCGTCGCTCCCAAGGTCGTCTTACACTTGGAGCTCCAAGCTCTGGTAATCCATGTCCGTTTAAAAATCCGTTATATAAACTCGTACCCGATGTACGCCTTACAAAATCCGAAGTTTCGGATACTTTTACCAAAAGTTCTACAAAAATTAAAGCTTATTGCTTATTGTTGGAGTCATAAATGCCTTGCGTTCAGGGGAAAATTCGTAATTACAAAAATTGTTAAGGGGGTCACGAAAAAAAACGCACTTTGCACAAAATACAGCTTCTGGTAAAAATGTTTTCTTTCACTTCCTTTGAATTCTTCAGTTTGTTGTAAAAACTTGGAAATTTTAAGTGCCTAGAATTTCGCTTTTCACTGCTCGTGCTTCGCATTCGTATTCGTATTTTTGGGGCAGGTCAGGGCGGGTTGACCTTCGCACTTTCACTTTACGGATACTACGCGCCTGCAGCGCCCTTTTGCCCGTGAAACCGCCGAGTTTTCATTTTCAATAGTCGCTGTGCCCCAGTACTTAGACTTAATTATAGCTCTTTTTTAGAAACTTGATTTTGTAGAAAAACGCTGGATTTGTTTAGTTATAGCACCCAGTGGGAACCTGGTATTTCCACAGGCCAAAGCAGCGTCTTTTGCTGCCTGTGTGCTTGGCAGCCTGGCAGAGCAAACTGTGAGTTTTCCCGACGAGATGCTCCATCGGATTTCACTACGCCAGCAGCTGCTGCTGCTGCTGTTTCTTCTTCTTCGACTATTGGGGCTGGGTGCGTTTCTGCAGCGCTTTAACAGCGCTTGAAATGAGCACGAGGCATCAGCGCGAGAGAAGTGCAGTGAGAACGAGGTGAAATGCAGCGCAAAGCTTTGCGAGAGAGAGTAAGACAGGTGGATGGGGTGGGGGTAGAAATCCCGTTACTACTATTTTCTCAAATTAAAGCCTTCAACGTTTAGGTCCACAATTAAACCGTATTTGTTTTATCCAACCCACTGTCTCTCCTTTACTCTTTTTTTCCCTAATTTTCGATGTTTTAACAGGTAAAGATATTTCTCCGTGCTTTGGCCTACATTTGTATCGATGTGATATAATCAGGACGCCAAAGCGCGCGCACCTTCTCCCTCGAAACGCTTTACCAGCATTCAATTCCATAAGATCCCATCAATTTGATTTTGTAAATATTTACTTCCAATCAACGGCGTTCAATTAATAGAACTGCTATTGGATTGAGTGTCCCAGGAAAATATTGAGCTTTCTTTTAGACTTGCTCAACATGTAAACTCTAATATTAAACATTGAGGTCTTTTAATAAAAAGGGTGATACAGAGAGTAATGCACTTTTATATGAAGCTCTCTCGCTCTCGCAATAGCATTGCCAGCTGTAAATGTAAATGTGAATGGATAACAGAGCTCTAAAATAACTGTAATTGCTGCTGGCCGAGATTTTTAATTGCAGTAAGAAGAAGAGATAATACTGTTTTGTTTATCCTAAGTAATGACAGATCAACTGCCAACTAAAAGCAATCTCGGCTGCATTTTTATCAGCTCTTAAAGAAATTCCTGCTCTTTTGGAATTCGCAACTAATTTATTCTTGGCGACATCCTCTCAAAGCAACAATTTTGGAAAGGCCAGAGAGCGAAATTCCTTTTAGAGGGGGTGGTAGAAGAGGAAGAACAACAACAGTTGCAGCCACATGTGGGGTGGGGGCAGCGGTAAAGAGGGGCGTTGGGGGTGGCACATCTGTGAGGCGTAAGTATTACCTCTGTTATTTGGGTCAAAGCTATTCACTCACCCGCAAAGCAAAACGAAACGAAGGAACTGCATAAAACATGCACAAACACACACATATACACACATGCAGAGCAGGAGCTTGAGGGACACGCACACAAAGAGACTAATGCGGGCCACAGGCTTAATAGGTTCCTCTAGCGGATGCGGACGCGAGTGCGGAGCATCCGCAGCGATACGCCTTGCTAGATACACTCGCCAAAGGTTGTCATATGAAAAACTCAGATAGATGGAGCAGTGTGCCTATACTTTAGGCCAGGCATGAATCGTATCCATTGCACTCAAACCCAAGCAACAAAATAAAAATTTGCCTTATCTTCTAAAAGTTGCATTGCATTGTCATGCATTCTGTTGTGTTCTGTGGCGTCTTTCGGTTATTTCGGACTTTTGAAGCAACTAGGCAGAACAAATAAAACCTTTCAGATGATCAAGATTTTGTTCAGCTGACCAAACAGAATATACACATAGTACTGCTCAACAAAATAAAATATATTATAAATTTTAGTTTGTTCAAGCTGCGTGTAATTAATAAAACCAATTACCTACATGTTATAATTCTAAATCTTTTTATGTTATTATTATTTTTGTTATTATCACATATGTACGTTCTAGTTTTTGGCAGAAAATTTTTTTTGTTGTACATGTGTACATATGTATATGTATATACATATATATTTACATATGTACAAATTGTTTTTAATTACATTATTATTTTCTTGTTGTAGAGTAGAGCTAAACTCTTTTTTTGGAAATATATAGCACAGGGTTAATTGTTCTAATGTTGGGAAAGGCTGAAACCGTCGGTTTTAGATATGGATGATGGGGGGTGGTGATGAAGTGATAACAGCTGATTTTGGCAAAGTAACTTGCGGTACCGTGGTGATCGGAAACTGAAACGGTTAAGCCGTAGTTGCCGGCTTTGCTTTGCTTTTAGCACGTTTGCACTTACCTCTCTGGCCATTACGACATGTTATCACCAGCGGCGCCCGCTTAGAGGGTCTGCCATTTGCTCAGCGGCAACAACAACAAAAACAACGCGGGAGCGCCTCTGAGAGCGAGGGAGTAGGAGAGGCAACAACAAAGCTCACGCTTTTCGCGATACGAGAGCGCTCGTATGTTCGCTTAGGTATGTGTGTGTGTAGGCGGCAAATGGTATAAGCGGAGAGACAGAGAGAGAAAGAGTGTGGGAGGTGTGCGTGTGAGTGTCTCAAAAATTCTCTACTACACGTTTATTTTCAATCTTCTCTTCCCGCACATTTCTCCAACGCGCCGATGCTGCTTCGTTCTTCCTCTTGCTTTTCTATCCTGTCCTTTGGCTTCCTTTACTTCTTCCTCCCCTCTCGCTGCGTGGGTATGTGTGTATAGGTGTGTATTGGAATTCGCAAAGGTATTTGATTAGGACAGCTGGGATTTGTTTAAACAATTAGCGTACATCACTATTTGCAAATTGGTTACAGTAACTTGTCTCTACCCACGCCCACTTTTATAGGTGCGGCTGTTGGGCAGGATTCGCTTTTTGGCAGTGGTGGTGGCGTGCGTGTGCGGTATGCTTCTGTGTGCGTGCGAGAGAGCACATTGGAGTACCGTTATCGCTGGTGGAGCCACATTTTCTTATTTGACATACACTTTTTTATTGCGATTTTCGCCAATATTTGCGGCACACGCGTTTCGTTGTTTTTTCTTACTTAATCAAAATTAATTTTCTTTACTTTCTTTCTTAATAGCTTTCTTTTAACCGTTTTTTGTCCTTATCGCTGGGTTGTACGGCACACACGCTTCACATACGTTCTAGATTTTGGCAGTTGTTCAATTGCTCGAATTTATTTCGATTTAGTAGTGCGGTTGATGTAGCGATTTATGAGTTTTTTCGGTGCGGAAACAATAACATTTAATTCATTTTAAGCCGAGTAGAAATGCAAATCAATTTTTATTTTCGGCAGCACTCGAAGTACTATCGTTATCGATAGCGATTTCTTTTACCTGTGGTATTTCTTGTAACATACTTTTGGGTGGTGCAGAAAAGAATCACGCTGGGCTGCCAACTCTGTTTTTGAAATGTTCTTTGGATTTTTTTTTGTTACACATTAAAAAAGAAATTGTTAGGAAAAAAAATACACGTTTTGAAATATTATTTCCCACGTTAAAATGTATCTATTTGACTATACACGACACTGTGATACTTAAGCCAAAGTTATCGATTACCTTAATACTAAGAAAGTATGCCCAGTTTATGGTATTCCTTACCTAACTATTTACAGCCACACTAGGCTTACCATTTTATCTACTTCATTTGAGTAACAAAAAAAATTATATATCTTACTCGAAGCGTGAAACGTTCCCCACATATAACTTAAGATGGACGACATACGTAGCAGCATAGACGATATGATGGACCGCTTTAACGAGAGTATAACCCACTCGGCGCCCAAGAAACTACTCTTCAACCGGCTTTCAGCCTCTTTTGATCTAGGGGCTTGTAAGAGTTTTTAATGGTTATGTACAGGGACATACCTAGAAACTAATAAGTAACTGCTCTTCTAGCACCCAAAAAGCGTCGCTTGGAGCGGGAATCACCGGAACGAAGTCTAAACGCCAGCGCCACTTCCCTCAATAGTTCCGCCAACGATCCTTTGGGTTTCTTGGAGAACAGCAAACTGCGGACCGAGCTGATCGAAACCAAGGCCACAGTAATCCAACTGCGAAACGAAATTGAACAGAAGAGCCGGGAACACAGAAAGGCCTTAATGTTAGCTGAGAACAAGAGTACGGCCTTAAAGGAGCAGTGCGATATAACCAGCAAGAAGTTCTTGGATGTGCAGGACGAAATAAAGACGCTTCAAAACCGAGAGATGGCCTTCAAGAATGAAGCCAGTCGGACCACCATTGAGTTGAACCGACTTAAGCTGAAGCACGATGAGGCCATGATGAAGTTGCAGAGGGAGAAGTATCTACAGGATGAGGATTCCCGCAATGCCCATCTGTGCATTAACAATGAACTGGCCGAATATCGCCGGATTGCCCAGCGGAGCGATCTCGAGCTGCAGTCTACGCGCAGCGAACTGGACCGCCTACGTCAACGCCATGAAGAGTTCAAGGCCAGGGTTTCCGGTTTCGAGGAGCTTCGCGCCAACCACGAGAAGCAAACACAAAGCTTAAAGGTGGCCAACGACCGCATACAAGAGCTGGAGTTCGAAATTCAGTCATATTGCGACTGGAAGGAGGTGACCAAGACCTCACAAGAGCGTCTGGCCAGTGTTCCAGATTTGCTTGCTGAGGTGGAGCGTCTGCGCAGTCACAACAAGCATTTAAACACTCTGATAGGCGATAAATTGCTACTGGAAGAACAGGTCCACGACTACAAAACGCGACTGGACCGTGAGGAAGGTGCTCGGGCGGAAGCAGCCTCCCTGCAGGTGAAACTGGTTCATGTGGAGCAAGAACTCAAGGAGTGGGTCAAGGTGGCCCAGGATCACTGTTTGGCCAACACTCTGGTCAGCCCAATGGCCCTACGCTCGCGCATTGAGCAGCTGCTAAAAGAGGACATCATTCACGTGGCAGAGAAGACTTCATCGGATTCGGATACTAAGCATTTGCAGGTAGGTTTTGTCAAATGATTCTTAAGTCCAATTTATCTAACTTCAGTTCATAGACCACAGTTCGAGATCTAGAACAGAAGTGCGCCATTTATTTAAAGAACATCGAGGATCTTAATATCGGTCTGAAGCGTCACAAGAACTTCAAAGAGCGACTGCAACGCAAATTAATCACCGTGTCCAAGGAGCGTGACTTCTACAAACAACTGGTAGAAAACTTCGACAAGGACATGACCATGAGTAATGCCAGTGTGGCGGACATGACGCAGGACATGCAGGTGCGGTACCGAATGGAGGTGCTCGAACGCACCGTAACCGGATACAAGGATATGTGCGCCACGTTGGAGCGCGAGATTCAAGCCATGCGCCAGCAGGAACTACTGAACGAACCAGCTGGAGAGGGCTACGACAGCGTCAAAAAGGAACTAGATACGCTGCGGCTGGAAAACGATCGCCTGCGTCGGCGTAAAGAGGAACTGGAGCTGGAGATGATGCACCGTTGCCTGCGGGGCGATTTTAACATGAAGGACTTGAAGGTGGTACACTTCAATGAAAATCCCGCAGCCGAAGCCTATGAATCCAGCAAGAACATGATGGAGAAGCTGCAGGCCGAAATTGAGCGACTGAAGCGCCGCAACAAGAAATTGGAGGACGACCAGGAGCAGAGGCTCAATGAAACCACCAGCACGGGCGGCATGACACTGAACTTTAAGGAGTTCAATCAGCTCCGTGCAGAATTGGAGTCCGCCAATGGCAAGATGCGAAAGATGAAGGATTGCTTTAAGGCGGCCAGAGAGGAATTCCGCGATGTGTGCTACATGCTGTTGGGCTATAGGATCGATCGCATTGGTGCCAATAGCAACTATCGGTGGGTCTCGAATCATTAGGTGCTCCCTAAAAGTTGTTAATACAACATTTTTTTACAGCATCTCCAGCATGTTTGCAGAGGGACCGGATGACTATCTGGACATTAGCCTCAACGAATCGAACTGCTTGGCGCTGCTGGAGTCGCCATATTCCCATACATTCAATCCACCTATTGACCAGCAGCTGGCAGCCAGTAACTTTCCCGCTTTCTTTTCCGCCCTTACCCTAGAACTTTTCCAAAGGGCCACTGTCACGATGACCTAGAAGAACACTATTTTAGTCTTAACTTAAGCTAGCCGAGTTGAAATTTATTCTGGTCCACATCAGATATACGATTGTTATTCTTATTCTACCACAATAACAATAAGCTCCGCCACAGACTGCATTTGAGAATAAATATAATATTTGTCTACTTTTGTATAACATTAAATAAATGGAGAAATATTTATTAAAGGACACGTATACATTATAGTAGTGCACAATAGAAATTGGAATACTCTATCGACTAAGTAGAGGTCAGGATGTGAGCCACCTGCTCGGGCGTCCTATGCAGTAGTTGCTCCGGCTGCTCGAAACCGTTGGCCGGATCATGGACTCGCTCATAAATCTGCTTGTAGATGGCCACGATCACGTTGAAAGACCTTTTCTGAACTGCGGCCCGGTGACTGCTGGACATGATGAGCTGCACTTGCGGCAGGAGCAATACATCGGGTAGTTCCAGAAAGGCGTCCATCTTGGACATGAAGATTTTTAACAGGTTTGTTTCTATTTTGGATTGATTGCTCTGTAGGATAGCGTAAATGGGACCCAGATTGAGGTTCGCCACCAGAGATGAAGCCTGCTCGGAGGTTAGTGTGTCCAACTGGGCATCCGACTGCGCCTGCAGCCGCTCCACACGCTCGTCCATATATTCGTAAACAGCCAGCGAGCTTTGCATGTGATGCAGACAGTTTAAAAGGTACACACCCATGTCCACGGTGGGCAAATGAGCAGCACTTTCTTGCACGGACTGCAACAAGGGATCTATCACGCAGCTAACGATCTTTGTTATGTCTGCCTGCCGACCATCGACCATGGTGGCCACTGAAAGAATCTCTTTGAGCATATTCAGCAAGCGAGCAACACTTGGCGGCGGTACCAGATCCCTTTGCGGGGGTTCCAAGGCCAGACCAGATCCTCCAGAGGGTCGCTGTAAAACACCTCTCACCTGGGCAGCCAAGGCGCCTAGGTAGATCTGCTCACTACTCTTTTGAAGCTCCACCAAGCACTCCTCCAGGCTGCCGCCATGCACCACCTGGCGCATTATTTGCTGGTAGAAGCGCAACAGGTTTGAAATGGTAAACAACACAATGGTGTCCTTCTCCGCCTGCAGTATGGTCTCCACTCGGACCTTGAGAGGATGACATACTCCATCGGCTATGTAACCCAAAGCGTTCTGCAGCTGGTCTGAGATATCTATTGCAAAACAAAGACCATTAGGTTAGTCCCTTAATGGATTCATTTACTTATCTTACCCTGCTTATCACACTTTTTGAACAGTAACGATAGGTTCTCCTTTTCGGTGGGAATGCTCTGATGCAGCCACGCAAACATGTCGCCAATATATCTCTTCGGATCATGGGCATGCAGCTCAATAGGCTTGGGGTTTCCTCCAGGACCACCTTCCGTCAAGGCTTCAATGAACTGACGCACCAAAACAGCTCTCCTCGCAATGGCGTATTCATCAATAACGTATCTGCAAAGCGACTAATTTTACAAAGGAGGCATGAAATACCACAGAATCACTTACTTGAATAGGACTGGACGGTCCTGCAGCCGGCTCATGGCTTCCACAATAAGCGGACCTATTTCGTTGTTTTCCAAACTGCGACAGTGGTTCTGGGTCCATCGGTAGAGTCTCTCCAGAGCGCCCTCCTGGTGCAAAGTCATCTCCTCCATGATGTCGATGGCAGCTGTTTGGTAGCCACACTGCATCAGCAGCCGGCAGTCGGCGTGGATGCTCTGTACTCTGTCCAAGACGCGAAAGAATTCCGGCACAATAGGTGCATCCTTGGCAGCGCCATAGAGCAACTGGTGTTCGGCTCCGCTTAGCTGAAAACGGGCTAGAAAAGCTTGGGCAATCTGCTTATGGACCTCCAAGCGGTCCCTTTCCCGCTGCATGGTGTTGGTCTGCTTGATGAGATCCTTGGTGAGGGCCTTTGAGGTCTCCAGATCCGATTTCATGGTCTCCACTGACGTGGCCATCATGTCTAGATCTTCGCACACGGCATCCAGGGAGAGCTTCACTTGGCGGAATGCCTTCAGAAAGTTCTCGTTGATGCCCACGGAGCGGTGTTCGATCTGGCTACGCAGATTCCTGCGATTCTGCAGGGTATTCTCCGTGAAGAAAGTGGATAGACCACTCAGAGCGTCCAATGTGTCCTGGGTCGTGAACGGAGTTATTAGTTATTGTCTACTCTTGGGACCATTAGGGACTGACCTTGTCCGACTCCAGGCGTGTCTCCAGGATCTTGTTGACCCTTTTTTGGATCCTGTCCAGCTCCTCCG